ACTATATACTGATTGAAAATTTCACAAAAATTCAGGAATGGAAGAGAAAATGCTAGAAAATCAACACTGCCACAAAATAGAGGCAAGCATTTGCGATAAAGACAAGATGGGAAGACTGGACTGCACGTACTGAGCAAAGTTGTAAACCAAAAAACAAAAAAAATTAATGAACAAAAACATATACACATAAAAAAAGCGGTACCACAGTACTTTAGATAAACGAATGCATGGCAGTGGAACTCCGGCAAAATGCCAAACTGTCTAAAATCTCGAAAAAACCGGCAATTTTACTTGAAATTTTAAAATGAACGAATTTTTAGACTTTTTTAAAACAATGCTTTTCTTCGCCAAAATCGAATGGATTATTCCCGGAACTGTAAATTTTAATTTAGTTAGAAGAGTGGATATTTCTATAACACAATATACTGTTCCAAGCAAAAAACGACGAGCACAACCAACAAAGTTAGAACGATAAAGCTAAAGCACACGACCGATAGCCCGCTGATATAAATAGCGAATCTGATATGCCACTAACAGTGATTCTCCAGGAAAAAACGCAATTCAGGACAAAAATGTGACAAAAGTTGTCGGAAATACACCTCTGCACAACGGATTGTTTTCCAGGTATCCTTCCTGAAAATTAACAAATTATATAAAAATGATAAAAAATTATAAACTAAAATCATATAAAAGTCATATTACAAATTAGATTAAATTCTAAGTAGTCATCAAAAAATTTATAAGTAAAATCCAAAATTAAAAGAACAAAAAATTTTAAAAAGATTAAAATTCTATCAAATTAAAATTATATAAAATTGTCAATTAAAGTCATATACATGGACGAAACTAAAGTTATATAAAAACTGATAAATTAGGGCGCATCGGTTAAAAATGCGGTTACCAACACACGTGAAAAGAGGCCGACTGCGACGAAAAGTCGATGAAGTTTACTACGTTCAAAGGACTTTTGAGATATGCCCTCACGCTCACGAAGAACAACATTCTGTGAGACAAGTGGCGCGCTCCTCCTGTGATAACCAAACCATGCAAAACGTTTTACTATTTTTCACTTAATGAATTTCGTGGAATATAAAATTGTGGGATTTCAAGGGATGAAACACAGGCTGCATCGTAAAATGTCTTCTTATACATGACACTTAGTCCAATCCATCCATTCCACTATTTTCTATCACTGCCAAGTTGGGCATTTCCAAATCCAGGCTCACGAAATCTATAACCATTCTCCTGCCCCATTTCTCTTGTAAATGCCAGTTCATCTGCTGTCGTGTTCTAAGGTGGCAATATTCAAGGCAAAATGGTGATAAACCAACGCACATCAGACTCAGAACAGCTAATGCCTTGCCAAGTTTTTTAATTGAGGGAACCGCTGCGCAAGTAACTTGTTCCGAACATGAAACGAACATCAAGCTCGTCAGTGGGCTGATCACCAAGCAGTGCAGTACTGGTCGAAGAAATTTTAAAAAGCCTGGACAATATGGGAATAATAAATTGCAGCCGTTTAGAAGGTCGAATCATAACCTTAAAGCAAGTGGACGGTCCAATGAAATCACAATATGGAACGGCCGGAGTCAGAAAGTTAAAACGAAGGGTGGGATAAGTTTGTTAAAATAATTTGCGGCCACCGGTAGGGCCGAGCTGTAATCTGTGGTCCGGCCCGACGCATGAAAATGTGGAGCGGCCATAGTTCGAAAATTTTTACCTAATATAGGAAGAAACTGTTAAAGCAGACAAATAAATGAGAAGCTGTTACGCTTGAATTTTTACCTAATATAGGAAGAAACTGTTAAACCAGACAAATGAATGAGAAGCTGTTACGCTTGACCAGGCATGTTGAAAGATTACGCAGAAAGTTCAAAAGAATGACTGCTAAGATCACAATGGACACAAAAAAAATTTTTCATTTTTTAAAATCAAACATTTAATAAAAACGCACCATCCACGTGTCGTCTTCACCGGCAATTCTCTCTTTCGTCACAACAATTATATCGCCTTGTTGAAAAGATAATTCATCTGGATTATCAGCGCTACAGTCGTACAAAGCTCGACATCGTCGTACGTGGTCCCTCTACAAATTCACCCAATGTGTTGTTTTTCGTTTCAACAGTATATTTAATCAATTTTTTACCTTTTCTAAACTGAATAAGCTTCTCCTGAGTTAATATAGAGTGTTAATACTGTTTTCCCGTATGAATATAGCAAGTAAAACTTACTGATTTCGGCTCTCTGGTAACCGATGGAAAACGTCGTGGCGCCGGAATTGGTGGTTTCAACTTGACAATTGGTGGCATTGGGGGTGCAGGAGCTGGTCGAATTGCCCGTGCCGATTTTGTCACATGTCCACGGGCTTCTCCATGCGCACCATTTGCTTCCTGTTTTCCATCCTTCCTTTCGCTATCGCTACCATGTCCCACAAGATCGCTGGACTGCCCAAATTTCCGATTCAGTAAACAAGCACGTACATCAGAAGAAGCCAAATTTGATTGCGATGAGGAAATTTCTGCTTTGGCGCCACCTGCAAATCCGGCAAGTTGAATTTGATTTCAAAAACTCAGAAACAGATCGAAAATATGTCTACTCATTAAGTAAAACTAAAATTATTTTCAAATAGCATAAAATTTAACTCAAAAACTTCATAAAATTTGACTAAAATCTAACTCAGAAATAAAATTTAACTCAAACCCCCACCAGTAAAACAAATAAAAGTCAAATTAAACCAATACCAAACTGAATTTGAAACCTTCCGATTATTTCAACAAAATATATAAGGTCAGAAAAACAACTGTCAGCATTCTGCCAACTGTGCAACTCAAGATTAAACAAAATCGCTACTTCAAATGTTGAGTTCGACAAAAGGATAATATGACAAAAACAGCAATTCTTCATGAAACCAAAAAAAACATTTTGCGTAGGAACAGGCTTCCAGTTCGTAGCGTGGCAAAGTACTGCTTCCCCTCGTTGATAAATTATCTTATTGTGAGCCAGGAATGGCCATGTCCAAGGCAAGATGGCAATGTTCAAACGGCTAAAATCTTGCCATGAATACCGGGGCTGTACTGATGATTCCCACTCCTAACCACATCTTATACTGTCTATGTTTACAGCTTAGCGATGAAACATAGGCAGGCAATTCTTTACATATCCCTCATTACATGGCTCTTTTAGATGTCATACGATTTGTACCACATTAACGACTCCATCATCTTTCCTATCATATTTCATTAGCTAATTCCACACTCCCACCCCTCAAATCCCTCTCCACATTAAAATTTATGGATTTCGGCCATCTTGCATTTTCCACGGCTCCGACTGACAGTTGCTTCAGGACACTGGTTCGGCCTATCGACGGTGGAAAAAATTTTCATCAATTTAACCCATTTCGGCCGCCTCATTTGGATCGTCTATTTTTCATTCGGCCATTTAATGGGCCTTGCATTTCTATCAAGAGAATTTTCAGGCTGGTAATCCATTCAGGAGAGGAAACGAACGTCAGATATGACAAGCATGGGCTGACCATCAAGAGATGCAGCACTGGATAAAGCAATTGGAAAGGCCG